TTACTATTCATTAAGTGGAAGTGGATCATCATGAAAGTCTTCATTCTCATCATCTTCATGCTGAGTAGGGTGCAGGGTCGGTTTTGCTGTCTTTGGGAAGGCAAAGATGGAAGAAAAGCCATGTATAAGTAGACCCATATAGATACTGACTGTGGAACCTGTATTGTTCAAGGGTCAACTATAGTCTTTAAAAGTTCTTAGAGCAGGGAAAATGAGCTGCCTAAAGAGAATGCAATAGAAATATTAAGTAATGCTCAGGAATGTTAAATGTCAAGAAATTGTTTAGCTTCCTTAAACCTTAGTTTTATCACCTGTTTCACAGGGTCCTATTTAAACCATGGTCCCTGATGATAAAAGCAAACTAAGTTATTTCTGGATGTAGCTACCACAAAGAGAGCTGATCTGGGGGGGGGAGGGAAACTGTCTCTTTACTTGCACACAGTACTTCTGAGACCAGATGTGCGCTTTTTCCCAACACCAAGCAATTCTCCAAATCTCTGAATACCAGCATGTCTTACAGTTGAAATCAATTCCGACTCTGTATCTACCTGAAGTTAGCATCAGATTCTTAAAGTTAAGGGCTCAATCCCACAAGACAGCCCCCACTTCATATGTCAATTCCAAGCCAGCTATAAATTGGGGGTTCTCACAACCCCCGACTTGGGTTGAACAATTTGCTTGAATTGTTCACACAACTCAGAGAAACTTATGTTTACCCCTTCATTGTCAAGGTTACATCTAGGCACAGCCAGATGGAAGAGATGCAAAGAACAAGGTATTGGGAAGGGGGAAAGGATCTTCCATGCCCTCCCTGGGCATGCCATGCTCCTAGGGCCTCAATGTGTTCAAGCAAACAGAAGAGTTTTTATAGAGCCTAATCTCCAGTGCAGGGGTTTGTGGGTGGGGATGAAATTCTAATAACTTAAGACGTTCTGGTGACCAGCCTCATACTGAGGCTCTCCAGAGATATCAATCTAAGCCGCTTCATTAGCATGAACTCAGGTATGATCAAAAGGATTTTCATTACAAATAACAAAGGATATTCCCATCACTCAGGAAATGCCATGTTTTAGGAGCTCTGTGACAGGAAAAGCAAAACACACCTAAAGGAACCTTAAAATTCACTACAATAAGCAGCAGAGTATTTTGTTTTTATGTTTCTGTCATTCAGTATTGTTACATCATGAAATCATATTATGATTTAATCTACTTTTCAACAGATAGGTTATCTCAGGAAATGATTTGGAGTCTTCCACATTTATCAGATGCCTTTTCATCATTCTTTTCTATCTTCGCAATTCTTGATCCAAACTGCATGGCTCGTTTCGGCAGAAGAGCAGAGGCTGTAAGACCAAGTTCCACAGCTGCAAGGCGTAATATTAGTTTTTCACCAACTCCACGGGGTAAAGTCAAGTTTGCCTTTTCCCAAACTGGCAGGGAATTCAGCAAGGAGACAACATTTTCATCCAGGAAAGGAAATCTAAAATAAATAGATAATATAACTCCATGTAAAAATAAAATCAATCTGTTAATCATTTTTATCAAATTTCATAGCTAAAAATCGCAATTAAAAAAATGTTTCATAGCACATGACTAATTTTAAAATATACGCTAAAAAACAGTCTAAGTCTCAATAAATAAACCAGGCGTATGGTGTTAAGATGTAATTTCAAATTGCTTCACAAGGTATCTTTGAGGAGACCTTGAAAACAAGCAAGATTTTAACCATTCAATCTGTGTCTGATCTTTTTTACATTTAAAGAAATGATACATTAGGGATATGAAACTAATACAGAAGGGTTCCATAATCCTGAACTTGTGAAATACTTATGTTAAAACTGCAAAATTATTTAATTACATTGAAGAAGATTAAATGCTGACATATTGTGTAACAGAACAAAATATTAAATTTTTAACAGATAACTGTTTTCGGCGTCCCCAATTCTGTTCTTTTTGTTTACAAAACTTTAACATCCACTCTCCCATCAATTCCTCAAAATGCAATATAGTTATACTAATGTTCCCATTTCATGACATTTATTCTAGCTTGAGTATACAGAATGGAAAGGGTGAATATTTACTTATAAAATTAATTTTTAAATAGAAAATCTAATCAATAGAATACTGTTAAAATGTACACCAAGATACTTAATACTTTCATATGGGCCCTTTATTTTTTACCATTTACAAATTTATTTATTTTATTTTTTATTTCAGAGCATTATGGGAGGAGCATGGAGCCTTTAGAAGGGTTTTTAGTAGATAAAATAAATTCCCTTAGTTGATATAACAGACTGAATTTCTTTCCCTTTCTGTCTCCCCCACGTCATTTCTCTCTTTTTCTCTTATATCCTTCAAGGTGCAAACAGTTTACAGACTTTATATTGTGGTAATAGTTATTTCTTTTTAATGAAATCTTGAAAATTATGACCAAATGATGACACAGCAGTTAAAATTTTACATGCATCACACCTGGCAACAGTATGACAACTGTCTAAAGGCAACTATGAGTCAGTGGGAGGAGGAAGACTGAAGCAGAAACAGGCAACAAGGAAGACTCAGAGGAGGAGGGACTAGGTGTAGTACCATGTTTCAATTCCCATGAAGCTTAGTTCCCCATTCTTGCATGCTTATACTTTTGGAATAAACCACCACTTGATAAATTAGCCTACTTGAATAGATTTTTTTCTGTTCTTTATAACTAAGTGTCCTATTTTCCTTTATCCTTAATGCTTTAGAAAGTTTAAGCACTGCACTTATTTACTGCCATCAGAAATATGATGCAGGTTAAAATAAATCCTTGAGATCAAAAAAGAATACATACATGAAAGTGTCTTGATCTCTGGTGAAGGGTTTACATAATCTTCAACACAAAACTGTGTTCTACAACTGCTGCTCCTGTTACTCTTTTGAATAATCTCCAAAGAAAAAAGGAACTTAGATGTCTTCACTTACAATCTGCTGGTTTTACAAAAATGCCCTAACTACACTCAAAGAGTCTTCATTTACAATCTGTTAGTTTTACAAAAATACCCTAACAACACTGGAATAGTTAGACTTTACCTTGCTTCTTTTCCATGATCACTGATAACTCTGTCATCACGGCCAAGGTTTCTAGAGGAAATTCGACCCAGTTCCATCATTATTTCCTTATTCAATCCCTCTAGCCCATGCGCCTGAAAGCGGACACGATGACGAGAATAGCCTGCTAGTTGCTCATCTGCACCAATTCCAGTGAGAACTACCTATCAAGTTCAAAGAGATCCATATAAACATGTTATTTACTATGTAGTATGAAAACAGCTAAGAAAAAAGCTTAAACAATTGTAACCCTAAAGATAACACTTTTGGAGGAAAACCATGAGATAAAGTCACAAAATAGTAAGATAAACCAAATTCTTTTTTTTTTTTTTT